GATCTCTTGCCCCCCTACCTCCTGCCCCCCAACCCTCCCTGGCCTTCCTGCTGCAGTTTGACAATCTGTTTGAGGCAGCTCTGCCTCTGTATCTATTATTGTTCAAAAGTTTATAATGGTCTCTATTATCCATGAATGAGGGAGATCATGTGGTATTTTTCCTTCATTGACTGGCTTATTTCACTTAGCATAATGCTCTCCAGTTCCATCCATGCCGTTGCAAATGGTAAGAGTTCCTTCCTTTTTAGAGCAGCATAGTATTCCATCATGTAGATGTACCACAGTTTTCTAATCCATTCATCTACTGATGGGCACTTAGGCTGTTTCCAGATCTTAGCTATGGTGAATTGTGCTGCTGTGAACATAGGGGTGCATATATCCTTTCTGATTGGTGTTTCTGGTTTGTTGGGATATATTCCTAGAACCACTGCTTTAGATACTGCTTTTGTTTCAATGAGAGCTTTAGTATGGTTTGCTGTCTGGTAAACATTAGCTTTAGTAATGATAATATGAATTTAAAAGGTCATTTCATCCTCACAACTACTCTCTGCAGTAGGCAGTTTAGTCCATTTCACAGAGCAGTTAAGTATCATGCTGCCAAGTACATGGAAATAAGTGATGGAGCTAGAATTTGAGTCTGAGTTCCGACCTCGAAGTCCAGAACATGGAAGCCTCCTTGAAACGGGAGGGTACTATTTACAAAATTCCTTCTCTGTTGAGATTGTTTGTGTTACATTTTGTCAGATTTTTATTTTCTTAAATAGTTTTTTGATTTTTAGAGAGAGAGAGAAAGGGAGAGAGGTGGAAACGATGAGAAACATCATTGATTGGCTGCCTCCTACATATCCCCTACTGGGCATCGAGCCACAACCTGGGCATGTGTCCTGACTGGGAATCAAACCAGTGACCTCTTGGTTCCTGAGTCGATGCTCAACTGCTGAGCCACACCAGCGGGGCATATTTTGTCAGATTTAATCTTTCTCATAACCCCCCAGGTATATTGAACTTTGATCTGTAATAGTTTTTTAAATGGAGCACTCCCACTTTTCAGATTTATTCTGTGTGAGTAGCTAACTAAACTCTAAAATATGCATATTTTATGTTTAAATGTGTTTGAGTTCATAAGTTGAATTTCCATATTGGCAATACCAATATTTTTGTGGAAAAAAGGATGCCTTTTGGTTTCTCAAGTGAGTTTATGTATGGGGTAAAACTTCTGTGTTTGAAAGTTAGTATTTTTATATCTTGGTATTATACCATTAGATGGTTTATTAGAAACTAGAGGCCCGGTGCACAAAAATTTGTGCACTTGGTGGGGGAGGGGGGTCCCTCAGCCCAGCCTGTGCCCTCTCGCAGTCTGGGACCCCTGGGGAGATAACAACCTGCTGGCTTAGGCCTGCTCCCGGGTGGCAGAGGGCAGGCCCAATCCCTAGGTGCAGCCCCTGGTCGGGCTCAAAGCAGGGCCGATTGGGGAGTTGGGGCACCGCCCCCTGTCATGCACAGAGCAGGGCGATCGGGAGGTTGTGATTCCACCCTCAGTCACGCTCAGGGTAGGGCCGATTGGGGGGTTGGGGCAACATCCCCTGTCACACTCAAGGCAGGGTCGATGGGGAGGTTGCGGCGCCACCCCCTGTCACGCACAGAGCAGGGCCAATCAGGGGGTTGGGGCATTTCCCCCTGTCACTCACAGAGCAGGGCCCATCAGGGGGTTGGGGCACTGCCCTCTATCACCCACAGAGGAGGGCTGATCAGGGGGTTGGGGTGCCGCCACTCTCACACTCAGGGCAGGGCCGATGGGGAGGTTATGGCTCTACCCCATCACACACAGAGCAGGGCCCGTGGGGGGGGAGGGGGGTTGGGGCGCCGCACCCTGTCACACACAGAGCCGCAGGGCGATCAGGGGGTTTGGGCGCTGCCCCCTGTCACGCTGATCCCGGTGCCGGGAGGCCTCGCGGCTCCGCTGATCCCGGTGCTGGGAGGCATATTACCCTTTTACTATATAGGGTAGAGGCCTGGTGCATAGGTGGGTGCCAGCTGGTTTGCCCTGAAGGGTGTCCTGGATCAGGGTGGGGGTCCCCACTGGGGTGCCTGGCCAGCCTGGGTGAGGAGCTGAGGGCTGTTTTCAGGCTGGGGGTGACTGAAGCTCCCAACCGCTCCTTTTTTTCTTTCTTTTTTTTTATTCTGGGCCAGCTTTAGCTTTGAGGCTTGGCTCCAGCTCTTAGGCCTCCGCTGCTGAAAGTAGGTTTCTGGCCTTTGCTTACAATGTTGCGATCCTGCTGGCTGAAGCCCAGCAGGTTTCTGGGGTTTTGTTTAGCTTCTATGTTTGTTACATAGTTGCTTGCAGCTCGGAGGCCTGCAGCGGCAGGCGGGGAACGTTGGAGTCCTCCGTCACTGAAGCAGGCAAGCCTCATGTTAGATTCAAGCTTCCTGGCTGCCTGCAGCCATCTTGGCTGACAGTTAATTTGCATATCGCCCTGATTAGCCAATGGGAAGGGTAGCGGTCATACGCTAATTACCATGTTTCTCTTTTATTAGATTAGATAGGATTTATTACATTTGATTATGCATATCATGTTTGTCATACTGTAACTTAAGATTACAATTCCTGATATTAATACAAACGAATCCAAAGTAAACTGCATTAAGAAGGCATAGCATGGAAGAGGACTTTCTAATGTGGCTTGTCTGGTCAGCTGCCAACACTCTAACTTGTTCAGTGTAAAATAGAAATTACTTATTTGAGGTTAAGAACCTGTGGTAAGGATTTCTTTTTTGTTAAATATATTTTTATTGATTTTAGAGAGGAAGGGAGAGAGAGATAGAAACATCAATGATGAGATAGAATCATCAATCGGCTGCCTCCTGGACGCCCTACACTGGGGATCGAACCCTGACCGAGCATCGAACTAGCGACTTCTTGGTGCACAGGTTGATGATCAACCACTGAGTCACGCTGGCCGGGCAAGGATTTCTTTTTATTCAATAAATGTATTGACATTCTACAGTGTGTATTATGTTTTATTATGTGTTAGGGTTATTGTGTGTTAGGTGCTTGGTAACCTTGATTCATGCCTTCCCAGCACATGGTAGGTTCTTGGTTAATGTTTAATGATAATGAATAATGAAATGGCCTGTAAAAGCCTTGAAACTTTGGAGTAGATTTCCACCCTACTCTATAAAGAATTATAAAACACTTTCAAACTCTTGCATTTATGAAATGCCTAAAAAAGCATCTTCAAAACACTGTTCCTAATGTGAGAGTTGATTAATATTTGGAAGAAAAACTAGGGGAAATTGAAATACTATGTATCTCTTTAAAAAACTTTTTTCATATGGGAAATATATATCATGTTATTTTTCTACAATAAGAAATTCCTGAAACAACTGTTTTAATTATTTTTATTTTTGGGATATTTTTCTTAGGGATATAAACTCATAAACTGAAAGGTTGATTTTACATGCGGTCTTTCATAGACTATTTCTCATTTAATTAAAAAGTGTTTGTGAGAAATTAAAACTTGGATTGGAAAGGTAACTATTAGGCCTCTGAGTATTTTCTTTTTTCTTGCTTGTATTAAGGTTTCTTTCATTTGTTTTACCATCTTCCTCACTCTTCCCCTCAAGATATTTACTAATTTGCTCAGTTCTAGTGCACATAAAGTAGTTTTGGTATTGTTAATCCATACCCTTCTGAAGAACAAATTCATTAACCAGAATGCAGTGTCGTGCTCAGCTGTTTTTACCTTTATCCTTACAAAATACTCTTTTCCAAAGTTATTTAGTTTTTGTCCTCCCTGTCTCCTATAGTGGGTTACATTCTCCATCTGTAGCTGAGTTGGGTTACTGTTTGCATTTCATTTTGGGGTTCCTCCACATTCTGGTTATTTGAACTATTTCTTCATTTTTGAGGCAACATGAAACATTACCATGTCTAACAAAAGAGTATACTCAGAGGACTGTTATTTTTCATTCCCTTGTACCATCCCCATTGCCCCTTCTTCCGTTCCATTTCTGCCTGTCTCCTGTAGGTGACCAGTCTCATTAATTTCTGATTTATCTTGCCTCTTGTTATTGAACAAATGAGCAGATACTTAACATTTTCTCATTTCTTTCTTGTGTAAAGTGTGGAATACTCTACTTTTGTACTTTGATTTAATATATCCAGTTTATCCACTTAATATATCCAGGAATCACTCCTTATCAGTCATAGAACACTTCTAATTATTTTTCATAGCTGCCTAATACTCCATTGAGTATATGTCCCTTAGTTTAGTCAACCATTCTTCTGTGTCTTGGCATTCAGGTTCTTCCCAGTACTTTGCAATTACAAATTGCTGCAATGAATAGACTTAACTGTATATACTTGTGTATTGTTGTGTATCTTAAGGTGAATTTACAACAGTGGGATTGCTAGGTTAAAAGGTAAGTGCAAATGTTTTATTGTTAGGTACCACTAAATTTCCCTCCAGAAAAATTGTATCTGTGTGTACTCCCACCAATACTGTATGAGGTTGCCTGCTTCTCCACAGCCTTGCCAGCAAATGTACTATCTTACTTTTTTATTTTTCCCAATCTGATGGGTGAAAATGGCATTCCTCTAATTAACGAGTGAGATTAAACACCGTTTCATATGTTTAAGGGCCGTGTTTATATTTTGTTGTGTCCTTTACTTTAAAGCAATGGTTCTCAACCTTCTGGCCCTTTAAATACAGTTCCTCATGTTGTGATCCAACCATAAAATTATTTTCGTTGCTACTTCATAACTGTAATGTTGCTACTGTTATGAATCGTAATGTAAATAACTGATATGCAGAATGGTCTTAGGCGACCCCTGTGAAAGGGTCGTTTGACCGCCAAAGGGCTCGCGACCCACAGGTTGAGAACCGCTGCTTTAACGAGTTATATCTAATGCACGTTGTGGTTGGATTATTCACCTTCAGCCTACCAGGACAGTAGCACTTTATAGAGACTAGCCATTAATAATGACTTTTCTGTTTCAGATTTTCCATGGTGGCTTATTTTAATTAGGCAGAAAGCGCTGGTGGGCAAACTTCCAGGAGACCATGAGGTCTGTAAAGTTACCAAAATTGCTGTGCTGTCACTTTCTGAAATGGAACCTCAGGATCTTGAGCTAGAGGTAAGGTGCTTTCTCAGGAAATTTTATGGAAACGTGATGTGAATATAATAGCAATTACGAGGATTTGGTTTAATAGACCAGAATCATGCAATGTTAGACATAGATAATGTCTTTAAAATAATTTAATCTTATGGTTTTCAAGCTCCATTTTAGTAGTGGAAACTGTTTCCAAATCGGTGAAATCCAGTATATGAGATGCATAAGATCAGAGCTGCTTTGGTTGAGGTGGTGATGGGGCGTGGGCATGTGCTGTGAACATTAATGTACAAATTTTTGGTGGGCATTTCTTTTCTCTTGGGTATATACCTTGTGATGAAATTGCTGGGTCATGTGGTAACTCTATGTTTAACTTTTTGAGGAACTGCCAGGCTGTTTTTCAAAGCAGTGTGCCATTAAAAAAAATCTAGACAAGGGTATGAAGAATCGGTGGGGTTCAAATAAATGAGAACAGAGGTGCTCTTTCTTTTGGGGAAAAAAAAATCCTTTAAAGTTTTATAGGCTTGTTGTTCCATGTCTGCATATCGTATTTGCTGTATCTCATTGCCTTAATAGATAACTGCATCATTTCCCATATTTAGTTTCCCATCAGACATCGGTTTAAAATTTTAGCTCCAGATGGACACAGATAGATACCAACTTTTAAAGTAAAAATCACTTATTTTTATTTTCTTAGACAGCAGCCACAGCAGCTCTTACTTAATCTTGGTTATGAAACGTAAGTTGCTAGAGTAATGGAAGATATCGGGGAGCACCGTGGGGCTTGTGGCGGTGGCTTTCTCTTTGAGATCAGGGTTGTGCTAAAGGCCTAAGCACACACGGCACAGACCTGGCTGTGCCTCTGGAAAAGGGAAAGTGATCCACTGTCAGCACGGGGTGTTGTAATCCCCAGAACCCTGTCTAAACAAAGCCTTTTAGGACTGGGAAGGATCTCAGACTTCATTTTCTCTATCCATACTTTGTGTAGGACTTCATTTAACCTTTTTAAAAAGATAGTGGCCTATACTTTTTTTTCTAAAGGTAACTGTATGGAGGATTCTAGAATATTCATTGAAAATGTTTATGTTCAAAGTAATTTTAAATTTCTATTTAGAAAAATCAGTTTTAAGAGGTAGAGATAGACTTCTGGGGAAGATGGTGTAGTGTTTGTGCTTCCCCATACAGATCACAATGGTTATCTGAAACCTTTGGGGCCATATTTGTTTTAGAGTTCAAGTTTTTATTTTGGAGGGTGGGGAGGTACTGAGAAGGTTATTCCATTTATTTTATATATGCCCTGTGAGTCTGAGGTGTTAACTCCACAATACAACACATTAGTATTTCTTAAAGAATAATGAATCAGGAGAATATTCATACCAAGGGAGGTGAGTGATGACATCAGTAGCTTCATGTCAGTTTAGGGTACATTTTGGCATATTGTTGATAAGGAAGGAAGTTAAGGGGTATTGGGCCCATCCCAGGAAGAGGTTAGATTAACAAAAGAAAAGAGCCCTGACCAGTGTGTCGTCTCATGCACCAGAAGGCTGCTGCTGTGATTCCCCGGTCAGGGCCCGGGCCCGGTTGCAGGCTCAATCCCTGCTGGGGGATGTGCAGGAGGCAGCCAGTGGTTATTTTGCTCTCACATTGATGTTTCTCTCTCCTTCTGCCTTCCTTTCTCTCTAAAAAATCAATCAGTAAATAAAAAGAAAAACAAAGAAGATATTGCTAGGCCTGGAGAGAAGTAGTATCTTAATGGACCATAAACAGAACAGTGGTTTGAATGGGGCCATAGGCCTCCTGGACTCTGGATCCAGAAGCAGGCAGTTCCAGGTAGAAACTTGTCCCCTACACAATAAAGGGAACTAGAAGGGCTACAGGAAAGATGGGGGCCTGAAGCCACGCTTGGTACTGAAAGCCTGGTGCTAGAGTGAGACTCCCCAGCTCATGAAAGGAAGCTGTTAGGTCATTGTACTAAATGGGATAGATAATTGTGCATAAATAATTCTGTCTGTTAAGCACTTTGAGAAATACTGGTCTGGGCAAGAGATTAGGACCTGAATTAACACAGTAGCAATCAGCAGTAAGTGGTTGGGTTTGATAGGAGAGACTTTAGGAAGGAGAATAATGGAAGATGACTCCTAGCTTTCTTGCTTAAGTGATCCCGTGGGTGCTATAGTAGTTGCCCGAGATAGATTTGAGAAACAGATGTTGATCAGTTTTGAAGACGCTGAATTCGAGGGACTGGTGTGTCAATAGCAGGCAGATGTTATATATTTGGGTCTTGTGCTCAGAACAAAAGATTGGAGTTACCATGAACACGGGCAATAGGGTAGTGAAGACCTGGGAGGGGGTGTGTGAAATTATATGTAAAACACTTGATCTTAATCAGGTAGTTATCTTCAGAACTTCTGTGCCCTTCTCTGGTCTTAACACATCCCCATCTTCTTCCTCACCTTTGCCAGTTGGCCCACACATTTCCGGAAGCCTCTACATACTGCTTCTTCAGATTTAATCTCTGGACGCAAAGACTATGTTTTTTGTTGATTGGTTAGTGTATGAGGATAGGAGGAGAGGAAGCAGTTGACCTGTCCAGCTTTCAAGGTTCCCAGTAGAGCAGACTCTTGACATGTTCTAAACCAGAACACCCAGTTAACTGGCATGAATGATTTTTAGCACAGACAGCTGTGGAGTAATGCCCTTGGAGCATAGAAAACGTGCATTTTGCACGTTTAAAATTTAAAATTTTAGATGCCAATTTTTAAAGCATTAATTAACCTCAGCTGGAGCATTTTATTTTTCAGTTATGTTAACCATAATTATGATCCTAACCTGAATTTCCCATCCCTAAATCCTAAGTATATCCTGCCCTAAATTCTTTGCCTGTCTTCTACTGTAGCTTTCTAACCACTGAAAGCACAGCTGTGTTTCCTGTTACCAGTTGTCTACTTGGTCGTTTTTCTAACTCTTGAGGTTTACAGTAGCATCCACTGCTGTACTCACATTTGAACATTTAGCAAGTAGATATTAATAATGAATTCTCTCTCTGTCCCTATTATTTAGCTCTGTAAGAAGCATCACTTTGGAATTAACAAACCAGAGAAGATTATACCATCTCCTGATGACTCAAAGTTTTTACTGAAGACCTTTACGCATATTAAGTCCAATGTATCTGCTCCTAATAAAAAGAAAGTAAGCAAAATCAGTCAGAGAAAGCCAAGTATCACATGATCTCACTCATATGTGGAATCTAATGAACAAAATTAACTGACAAACAAAATAGATGCAGAAACATAGAAGCATAGAACAGACTGCGGAATCTTGGAGGGAAGGTGGGGGAGGGTGGGTGGGTGGGAAGAGACTAACCAAAGAACTTGCATACGTATATGCATAATCCAAGGACACAGACAATGGGGTGGGGAAGGCTGGGACGGGGTAGGGGGCGGGCTAGAAGGGGTCAATGGGGGATGTGGGGGGACATATGCAATACTTTCAACAATAAAGATTTAATAAGGAAAAAAAGAATTTAACTTATATGGGCTTGGAATTTTTATTTTTTATTAGGTTTAAAGTGAGGGGTAATTTTCCTGCCGGTGAACTTATTTTGAAACCACTTGTCATACTCCAGCACTGCCTCTGCATGTCCTAGGGCAGCGGTTCTCAACCTGTGGGTCGCGGCCCCTTTGGGGGTCGAACGACCCTTTCACAGGGGTCGCCTAAGACCATCGGAAAACACATATATAATTACATATTGTTTTTGTGATGAATCACTATGCTTTAATTATGTTCTATTTTTAACAATGAAAATACATCCTGCATATCAGATATTTACATCACGATTCATAACAGTAGCAAAATTATAGTTATGACGTAGCAACGAAAATAATTTTATGGTTGGGTCACAACATGAGGAACTGTATTAAAGGGTCGCGGCATTAGGAAGGTTGAGAACCACTGTCCTAGTGATTAGCTTCACCTCTTTCCTAGGAAGGTGTGTATTACCCACATAGGCTGTCTTTACATTTCATTCCTGCAGTGATAGTAGATCCACATTTTTACAGGTCAAGGAAAGTAAAGAAAAGGAAAAGTTGGAGAGAAGATTACTTGAAGAGTTGCTGAAGATGTTCATGGACTCGGAATCCTTTTACTACAGCTTGACCTATGACTTGACCAACTCAGTGCAGAGGCAAAGCGCTGCCGGCAGGGACCCCCGGCCCCTCTGGCAGAAGGTACCGCTCACGGTTCAGAGCAGGGTTTGCCCCCGGAGCAGTTTATGGACTTATTTGGCTTTATCGGAAAACTGAAACACCAGGTTTCTGAACTGTTTATTCTCTACCTTTTCCAGGTTGATGATCGATTTTTTTGGAATAAATATATGATACAAGATCTTACTGAGATTGGTGTGAGTAGTTTTCTAAAATATTCTAAGATAATTATAGTTAAGCAAATATTCTGGCAATACCAAGTTTTTTAACTTTCCTGTTTCCTCATCTGGACAGATCTCCAAGGACATTCTAGTACTGCCAGTATTTGAATCAGGGAAGATAGGGAATATGCTGAGGTTATTGAGATTTGGTGATTACAGTCTTTCTTTACTCTGTCACATTATGCTGGAGAATTATGACTGTCCAAGGACAACTAATTAATTTATTCAGTCAATCAACAAATATTTGTGGAAGGCCTGCTATGTGCCAGTTACTGTTTTGGGCACAAAGTGGGCAAATAGTTGATTAGGATCATATATTATCTTTTTCTTAGCCTTTCAGAAATTTCAGACCTTTTGTCCTGGCCATTGTGGTTCGGTTGGTTGGAGCGCTGTCACCTGCACAGAAAGGTCTCGGGTTTGATTCCTGGTTAGGGCATATACCTAGGTTATGGTTTCAGCCCCTGGTTGGTACACATAGGAGAGGCAACCAATTGATATCTCTCTCCCTCCCTCCCCTCCCTTCTTCCCTTCCCCTCTCCTCTCCCCTCCCCTCTCCTCCCCCTTCCCCTCTCCTTCTCCTTCACTCTCTCCTTCCTTTCTCTAAAAAATAAAAATCAATAAACATCCTCAGGTGAGGATTAAATAAGTATTTTATTTAAAAAAATTTTCAAACCTTTCTCCTTTTTCCATTTCTCCTCCTTGGTGGGAGTTGGTAGATGGATAGTGCCTACCACTAGCTAGCTATCATGTCTCTATCGAGAAAGAGTTCTTGCCTCTTGATGATGCTGACACTGGGACCGCCAGAGCTTTGTGGCAGGATTAGCAGTGAGGGTGTCTGTAATGAATATTGTCTTGCTTGCTGACGTGTTGAGCTCTGTTTTGCAGAGTTTTTGCAGATATTTTGCGTTTCCATTGAGAACTGGTGACTTGCTATAAAGGTGGGATTTGGCCACTTACGCGTCTCTGTTCCCTCCAAGAGTTCTCTGCATGTATTGCTAGAAGGGAAAAAAACACAAATAATGGGAGTGATGATAAGAATCATGAAGGCAGGTTGACCCTTTACTGTTTTCAGCCACCTTCCAAGATCCTACCTGCAGGCTCCATGAAACAGAACCATGAGATAGGACCTGGAGTGTGTGGTTATGCAAGAAGAGGTGGGTTTGAAGTTGATGCTGAGATTAGGGCTAGATAGGATTATGGAGACGGGAGAGAAAGAGGGACTAAGAACAACTCTCTGGGAAGCTTTTCAGCCTTCACTGTTTATCCTGTGCTATTGCTAACTCGTTCCGGTCAGCAGGCAGGCACTATGCTAACGACTTTTTCCATTTTCCTCATTCATCTTCACAGCAACCTAATTGGGTAGTAGTTTTCCTGTTTTTCAAAGCAGAGTGTCCAGGCACTGGGGAGGTGCAGTGACTCACCTGGGGGAGGTAGTAAATGGCGGAGCTTGAATTTGGACCCGGCTGTCTGGCTCTTATGGTGTGATCCCTCTCAGGCAGCTCTCTTTTGAGCGATTATTATAAAGCAAAGGAAATGCTGTCTGCTCCACCTGCACTCCTCCACTCCTTTGTGTTCTCCGGTGAGCAGAATACTCAGTGAGGGTTCAAGAATGGAACGTTTCTGTTCCTAATAAACTAACAAGTATGTGCTGGCTACTGTTTGGGTTTAAGAAACTATCAGTGCTGTACAGCATAGAAACAACGTGATGTTCCTGTTGTTTTCAGACACCAGATGTGGACTTCTGGATTATCCCCATTATCCAAGGTTTTGTGCAGATTGAAGAACTTGTGGTAAATTACAGTGAGTCATCTGATGATGAGAAAAGCAGCCCAGAGACCCCGCCTCAGGAGTCCACCTGTGTAGATGACATTCACCCACGATTCCTAGTGGCTCTCATTTCACGTCGCAGTCGGCACAGAGCAGGTGTGTGGGAGGCTGTGATCACCTGCAAATCAATCCAGGCTAAATGGAAATGCTGCGGGGTGTGGAAATGCTGGTGACCGTGTGGATCTGGAAACTCCGTTTCAGCGCTCAGTCACTTTGTAATGTGACTGCGGACCAATTATTGGATAGAGGCGAACTGGGAAGAGTTAACAGGAGAAAGAAGAGAAGAAAGTCACTTGGGATGTGCTTCTAAAATACCATTGTTCCCAGGGATGGGCTGGATCACAGTCACAGTAATAAGTCCCTCCTGAGTGCTAGCGCCTTTGGGAAAACCCTCCTCTTTCAGTGCGTAGGAGCTCTCGTAGCTTCACTTTGTAAAAATCATGATGCATGCAGTTATGATTTGGGATAAGTTGATCCAGTTCTGCCTGGCAGTTGCGCATTAGATCCCCAAGGCTATCCTGAAAGTGAGATGAGCATGATCTAGTTAGGCTAAATTTTTTAAATGTTGCTGTTTTCTGTCTGTCTGTTTGTTTTGTGTTTTGTTTTAGGAATGCGCTATAAACGAAGAGGGGTGGATAGAAATGGAAACGTTGCCAATTATGTGGAGACTGAGCAGCTAATTCATGTCCATAACCACACCTTGTCATTTATTCAAACCCGAGGCTCTGTGCCCGTCTTTTGGAGCCAGGTTGGCTATCGATACAATCCAAGGCCTCGGCTGGACAAGAGTAAGCAAGTCCATTATTTGGTTTGCAAATGATGATGTCAGACAGATATTAGGTACTTTATAGATTTGGATTTGCTTTGCTAGATGCTTCATTCAAAACAATAACTCATACAGTGAAATTTAGTGGAAAGTGATATAAACATAAGAGCAATAGTGGTTGTTGACAATTTAACAAAAATTCCCCAACAATAGAGCAAAACAGCTTATTGTACATTTTAAATTCTTGACTTTTTGAAGAATACTTTATTGGATGTTTAATTTTGGAAAAGGGTGAATGAAGCCAATATTTGTAGAAGGGGGAAATATCTTAAGATGGCATCTATTATACAAGATGCCTTTATTGAAATGCCTCACTGTGAAGTGTTTGTTATTGTTTATTTGAGAAGTTAATTTATTTTTGTATTTTAACTTTAACACTGGAATAGCTAAATCATGTCAGCCTAATTAGATTACTGAATTAGGTTGATTTTTAAAAATTGTTTACAAAATATTTTTCTCTCAAAACTGAATTTATATTTATGAGAATTTGGTAAAACTTCAGTTTTTAATATCCTTGATTAAAGAAGTTTTTATTTTTTTATTATAAACTACATGAAACCTTTTCTGATAAGTTGGCTGGCTTGTTATTATAATGTTATAATTTCACAGTTTGTACTTTGTTTTAATTTAGTCTAATAGGGGGGAAGAAATCAGATCTTTGACTTAGCATTTCATTTTAAAATAATTTTAGAAAATCTTTTGGGCTGTCAATTTTTTTAAAGTAAGAATAACGATGGAATAGACACTAATTTTTTCTTAAACAGGGGAAGGAAAAAATCGATTTTATATCACTTCTTTGTAGGTGAAAAGGAAACTGTTGCCTATTTCTGTGCCCACTTTGAAGAACAACTGAAAATTTACAAAAAACAGGTGGGCTTTGATCTCTAGTAGTTAATGTTCCTTTATATTTTGAAATGATTGTATATCTGTTTCTTTAAATTTCATGAAAATAACAATGTACTATTCATAATTAAGCAAAATGGCATTTCTCATGAAGTTAAAGAACACATGTAAGCTAAGAATATTCTTAATATTTTTAAAGAAATATCATTGGTCAGCTACTTTAGACCATTTTTATTATTTTTTAAAATTTTAATTTTTAAAATCAGTTTTATTTTTCAATTACAATTGACTAAACCATTTTTAGATTAGAGATTAATCTGTCAATTATTATGATTTGAGAAGTTTATAGAGTAAGAAATAAAAGGCATCTTGCAGTACCATCCATTTAGTTAGTTCTACCTCCTGGAAATAACAATTTAATATGTATCTTTCAGTATCTTTTCTTTGCCCACCTTTCTTATATATTCATACAGTCATGTAGGAATGTGATCATATAAACCAAAGTAAGATAAAAGCTGTTAGATGAAATACACGTTCAATAAGATGACCAGATTTCAGATGCAGGATTGAGCTAGAACTGTCAGTAACTAATCCATTAGCAATAACCAGTCTGAATGTGTAGTGCCATAGAACGTATTTTTCTAACAGCAACAAAAATAAAATAGGAAGAAATAACCTAAAATCTTGTAAGCATACAAAAGGATACCATGACAGTGGTGGTGGTAGGGGTCCAGGGGAGAGTTACTGAAGAACACAAAAGGAAATCTGAATAAATGGAGAGAAAATACAATAATCTTAGAAGGAAAGACTCAATATTCAACAGATTTCTGTTCTTCCAAAATTAATATATAAATTTTGTGCAATCCCAAAGAAAGTCCCAGCAGGGAAATGATTGAAAAAAAACTATAAAGTTTGATGATAAGAGATGAAGTCAGGAATGTGGGAAATGAGAACTCTCACATATTGTTAGGGCAGTGGTTCTCAACCTTCCTAATGCCGCGACCCCTTAATACAGTTCCTCATATTGTGGTGACCCCCAATTTCATTGTTACAAAGTGAACATAATTAAAGCATAGTGATTCATCACAAAAACAATATGTAATTATATATGTGTTTTCCGATGGTCTTAGGCAACCCCTGTGAAAGGGTCGTTCGACCCTCAAAGGGGTCGCGACCCACAGGTTGAGAACCGCTGTGTTGGAGCATAAGTTGGTACAGCCATTTTGAATGGTATTATTCAAAATAAAATATGCTCTACTGTTAACCCAGTAATTTTGCTTTCTGATATCTATCTTACATACCATATACAAAAATCAGTTCTAGGTGGATATGGATTTAAATATGTAAAGTTAACAAAACTTTTTAGAGGAAAATATAGAACATCTTTTGACCTTGGGTCTTAAACTGGACTTAAAAAGCACTAACCATAATTTTTAAATGGGTAAAATTGACCTTACTAATTTGTAAATTTTTATTAGAATTTTATTTCTTGAAACTTTATCATAAGTATAAATACGATTATAAATGTTATAAATATATTATTTTTTTTAGAGAAAGAAGGGTGGGGGTAGCTTCGATAAGAAAGAATCATTGATCTGCTGCCACCAGCTCAGTGGTTGAGTGTAGACCTATGAACCAGGAGGTCACAGTTTGGTTCCCAGTCAGAGCATATGCCTGGGTTGTGGGCTCAATCCCCAGTGGGGATTGAGCAGGAGGCAGCCGATCAATAATTGATGTTTTCTATCTTTCTCTCCCTCTCCCATCCTCTCTGAAATCAATAAAAAAAAATTTTTTTAAAGTATTCTAAATATTTTCAAGATTTGCTATTTTAAAGGACCTTGTTTTCATTGTCTATTCTAGTTGGTTATTACAAATGTATAATGTATATAAAAACTGTTAATGCCATTGATGTAAGCAGTTATCATAAACCTAAATGTAACAAATGAAAATCCTAATCTTTTCCCTAATTTGTAGGAAAAAGATTGATGCTTGAGTGGATTTCTAAGCATAGCTGGAAAATATTTCTAAAACATAATTCCAAACAAATCCATTCTGATTCTATCATCTGGTTAAGATGAATTTTTTCTCCTTACTCTTACAGGTTATTATTAACTTGGTGGACCAAGCAGGAAGAGAGAAAATTATTGGGGACGCTTACCTCAAGCAGGTGTTGCTCTTTAACAATGCGCACCTCACTTATGTTTCATTTGACTTCCATGAGCACTGGTAAGGTGCTTCCTGAGATGAGTTTTTTTTACCAGTTCCAATGGTTGTGGTACGATGCTGCCCCAAGGACCTAAGTTACTCTTTATTGGGAAGAAAAATATCTTCTCATTGTTGGAAAGGGAAGGAATATTATTTGTTTACTTTGTTTTCATTTTCATATGGATTTTATTTTGGCTAAAAATTTAACTTAATTGTTCCTGAAATATTTATAGTTTTTCTATTCCTAAATAACTTGGAGACTTAGAGTTCATTTTTCCTTTTATTATTCAAGTAAAGAATTTCTGGAGCTTTACCTTTCTGCTTAAGCCTGAGCCTGGCAGAAGTAACAGAAACCCCTTAATAAAAACCATCCTGCCGGCTCATTCTCATACTTTATTAGGAACACTGCTTTCTCTACGGATAAAGGTCACTAGAATTTGCCTGGAAAATCAACAATTAGTGAACCATTTTGATGATAACTTTAACTTGTGTGTATTTTGAAAGCAGGGTTCTTTTATCATGACCCTGGTTCTAACGTGAGCTCAACTATCTAAGTGTTGAAAATTTGGTGGGGAGCTTTAGATATCTTTATTTTTCAGTATATTTTCTTCCACATGACAGATTAGCTTTAAACGTTCATGTAATTGCCTATATAAATTATAATAGTGTAAACCTCATTTATTTAAAGTAATAATTTTCTTTAATTTTTCAGGCTATCTTAAATATCATATTTAAGTTAAAGATTTTCTCTTTGTTTTGGCTTGTATTTTAGCCGAGGAATGAAGTTTGAGAATGTTCAAACACTAACAGATGCTATTTATGACATTATTCTTGACATGAAGTGGTGTTGGTACGTATTTATTTCATAAGAAATCAGTGGAACAAACTCTTGGTCTGTGAAACCATGTGTATTTGTTTAGTAACATTAAGCGTTAAAATAATAGCAGCAAGCTGAGAACGCATTTTTGTTTTTCTAGTTTTGTGTCCCGCTTCCTAGTCTCCTTTTTAAGAGAGGGTTAGGCATTAGGCATTGTAGCCGTGAACCGGGAAGAGGTGTCAAGTGGTTGGGCAAAGGGACGTGAAATGCCCAATGACTATTATTTAATTCATTTAATACTTCATAGTTGAATTTCTTTCTCTTCTTTCTTACCATCCCTAACATGGAAGGAGGGCTTAGAGGTACCTAGTCTCAGTAGTCAGGCATTTAAAATTATCAAGGAAGGATGAAAATTCTCAGATTACAGGAGGGAGAGGCAGGAAGAAAAAATTGGCTTAAAGGACAGAACAGAACTTTCTATTAGATTTTAAGGCCACAGATGGCAAGAGAAGTGAGATGAGCAAGGCATGCTGCATGACTCTGTATTAGGTGGTAAAGTGAATGAGCTAATTTAGATGTATTTCTTCTTGGAGTCAAAGAGGAGGGTCAGGATGGTGTTTTAAAGTGCTTTTTGATTTTAAATGTGCAGAAAAGAGTAACGGGTCCATTTTCCTAGTAGTTGTATGACTTGGGGCAAGTGACTCTTTCTGTACCTCAGTTTTCTTTCCAAAATGAGGATAGTAATGTCTTCCTTGTTGAGTTATTGTGTAAATCAACAGTGTCTGCGTAGGACTCAATAATGCCCGCACTCAGTGCTCTTCCAAGCAAGCTGATAGCCAGTGCCGCTGTTCTCATCGCTGTGCCTGAAAGAATTTGGGTTTTTGAAAAACGCATTTAAGTGTTTCATGTTGTGAAATAATCCCATACTGTTTTTGAAAAGGGTTGATCAAGCTGGGGTAATATGTAAACAAGAAGGGATTTTTCGAGTTAATTGCATGGACTGCCTGGACCGCACCAACGTGGTTCAAGCTGCCATCGCACGAGTGGTCATGGAGCAGCAGGTAACTTGGAATCCGTTGGGTTGTAAATATTCATTTTTAATTTTTTCAAGGGTAAACTAATAACTAAAATCTTTGTTCTTTAGAACATTTATGGCATAAAACTCTTGTTGCATTAAAACCTGAAAAGCACAACCTCCACTAGAAATAACTTGAACCAAATGGTATTTTCTTAAGTACACATTTCAGAATGTGAGGCCCAATATTTAAAAATTTATCGGGTGTCACTGTATGGTCACTTACCTTTTTACCTCATCTCTAAACCCTCTCTCCTGTATTTGGAGCTGGGGGTCTGTACATTTCATTTCTGCTTGGCCGACTGGCTTCGTGTCAGGCTCTGCCAGTAGTGGACACTAAAGGAAGATCATGAGGCTGGAGGAGAAAAAAGGGACTAGCTTCTTCATCTGGTTGTAGTCCTGCCAGCAGTGCCATCACTGGGCTGCTGGTCCCTTTGGCACCACAGAACCAGCCTCTTGCCTTGATGCCCCAGTTGCTGGCAACTGCTTCCTGTGGTCATTATGTCATTACCCAGGTCCCCTTTTAGATCTTTTGGCCCTAACACCTGAGTAATGAATTCAAAGGTGGAAATTCCTAGCATGGTTTCTAGGGTTTTTGTTTTTGTTTTGTTTTTAAATACATTTTTATTGATTTCAGAGAGGAAGGGAGAGGAAGAGAGATAGAAACTTTGATGAGAGAGATACATCGATTGGTTGCCCCCTGTATGAGCTCTGACGTGGGGTTGGAGGGCGGGAGTCGAACCTGCAACCCAGGTATGCGCCCTTGACTGGGAATCAAACCTGTAACCCTCTGGTGCACAGGCTGACACTCTAACCATGCCGGCCAGGGATGAAAACACCATTTCTTTTATTTAAGGGTTCTAAATTGTGTATGAACGTAATTCCTTTTTCTGCAGTATGTTTTATGCTATGGTGTCTTGGTTTATATGTAATTAATCCACCAATGTGTAAATTTTAGCTGAAAAAATTAGGTGTGATGCCCCCAGAGCAGCCACTGCCGGTGAAATGCAATCGGATCTATCAGATAATGTGGGCCAACAATGGTGACTCCATCAGCAGGCAGTACGCTGGCACAGCTGCTCTGAAGGTAAATCCCTGCAGCGAGCATTTGCAGGTCATTCTGTGGGACTCAGAATGTGGTTAAAAACCATCTTTGTTTTTGAGATAAAGGTGTGCGGCTACAGGTGGTGGCTGACTGCTTTCTGGAATGTTTGGCTAAGGCAGGGGTCACACACTCATCTTTTGGCTGGGACTGGGGCTGGGGCTGGGGCTAGGTGGCTCAGGCAGGCACCCATTAGGTGAAAGGGAGAGATGGAGCTGTGTGGCCCTAAGGAAGAGCATATGTTGTCTCAGGAGGGTGCTGTCTTGTTTCCTTATGAGGATGGTGGAGACGCAGTGTTGCTAGGTCTTCTGGTTTTTTCAAGGGAGTCGGCAATCTGGAATTGTGTGAAATACTGGGTTTTTAAAATTTTAAATAGACAAAACAAAACATGTCTGTTGATGGGATTTGGCCCCTAGTATGATCATTTGCCCCCTGAATTTGTATCCCCATCCTGCCTTTTACTAGCTCTGTTACCTTGGGCAAGTCGCTTAATTTCTCTCTCAAGAGGAGAATACACATTCTTAAGAAAGCGCACATGGAACATTTTCCAGGATAGATCATATGTTGGGCCACAAAGTCTCAACAAATTCAAGAAGACAAAAATTATATCAGGGTGTGTTTTTGTTGTTGTTGTTGTTTTTAGTAATAGTGGTATGAAATTAGAAATCATTAACAGGAGGAAAGTTGGAAAATTCACAAATATGAGGATATTAACACTCCTGAACAATCAAAGGATACCACAGAAATACTTAGGATCATGACGCTATACTGAACAATTATATGAGAACAAATTGGACAATTTAGAAGAATAAATTCTTAGAAACCATACAACCTATCAATACTGAATTATGAAGAAACGGAAAATCTGAGCAGACCAGTGAATAAGATTGAATCATTAAGCAAAAACCTCGCAACAAAGCCCAGGGCCAGATGGTTTCACTAGTGAATTCTACCAAACATTTGAAGAATTAATGCCAGTGTTTCTCAAGTTCTTCCAGAACACAGAAAAGGAGGAAACACTCCCAAACTAATTTTATGAGGCTCTGATACCACTACAAGGAAATAAAACTACAGGCCAATATCCCTGATGAATGTGGATGCAAAAATTCTCAAGAAAATACTAACAAACTAAATGTAACAGTATCACACACCATAATAAAGTTGGATTTATCTATCAGGTGGAAGAATCATTCAACATATACAAATCAATAAATGGGACATCCTGGATTAATAGAGTGAAAGATAAATATCATAATCTAATAGATGCAGAAAAAGCATTTGACAAAATTCATTCTTTTATATAAAAACTCTCAACAAATGAGGTATAGAAGGACTGTACCTCAGCATAATAAAGGCAATAATAACAAACCCACAGCTAACAGCATACTCAATGGTGAAAACTTAAAAGCTTTTCCTTTAAAATCAGGAACAAGACTTTGGTGCCCACTGTCACCATTCCTGTTTGTCATAGTACTGGAAGTTCTAGCCAGAGCAGTCATGAAAGGAAAATAGAAAGCATCCAGATTGGAAAGGCAAAAGTGAATTTGTCTTTGTAGATGACATAATGTTATATATGGAAAATCCTAAAAACACTCCATCAGAAAACTGTTAGAACTAATAAATGAGTTCAGTAAAATTGCAGAATACAAAATCAACCTACAAAAATCAGTTGCGCTTCTGTACAATAACAACAAACTGCTAAAAATTAAAATAATCTCTTTTACAATAGCATCACAGACAGTAAAATCCTTAGGAGTAAAATTAACCAAGAAAGTGAAAGATCTGTACACTGAAAACGGTAAGACATTGATGAAAGAAATTGAGAGGACACAAATAAATGGAAAGATAGCCCATGTTCATGGATAAAAAAATTAATATTCTCAAAATGTTTATAATACTACCCAAAGCCATATATAGATTCAGTGCAATCCCTATCAAAGTTCTAGTGGCATTTTTCACAGAAATAGACAAAAGCAATTCTAATGTTTGTATGGAACCATGAGACCCCCAGTAGCCAAAGCATTTCTGAGAAAGAAGAACAAGGCTGGAGGCATAACACTCTCTGATTCCAAACCTTACTACAAAGCTATAGTAATCAAAACAATATGGCACTGACATAAAAATAAACACATAGATCAATGGAATCGAACTGAGAGCCCAGAAGTAAACCCACATATAGTCAACGACAGCTGTTGTATAATTAGTATAGTCTGTTATAAGATGAATAAGTTCTGTAGATTATATTTGACAAGGGTGTCAACAATACATTATGGGGAAAGGGTAATCTCTTCAATAAATGGTGCTGGAAAAATGGAATAGGCATATGCAAGAAAGTTAAATTGGACCCCTGTCTTATAGAAAAATTAACGCAAAATGGATTAAAAACTTAAATGTAAGATCTGAAACTTTATAATTACTCCTATAAGAAAACATAGGGAAAATGCTCCATGACATTGGTCTTGGCAATGATTTTTTGGGTGTGATTCCCAAAACGAGCAAGAAAAGAAAAAGTAAATAAGTAGGAGTAGATTAGACAAAAAAACTTTCTGCACAGTAAGAAAAAAATGTTTTTTAAATCAACAAAATAATAAGACAAGCTATGGAATGGGAGAAGATATTTGCAGACATGTATCTGATAAGAAGTTAATATTCACGATATGTAAGGAATTTATACAACTCAACAGCAAAATATAATTTGAATAAAAAGTGAGTAAAGGACCTAAAGAGACATTTTTCCAAAGAAGATATACAAATGGCCAACAGGTACATACATAGGTGCTCAACATCAGTAATCATCAGGGAAATGCAAATCAAAACAACAATGCAATGTCACTTCCTAGCTGTTAGAGTAGCTGTTATAAACAGGTAAGAGATAAGTGTTGATAAGGATATGGAGAAAACGTAACCCTTATACACTGTTGGTGGGAACGTAAATTGGCCTGGCCATTATGGGAAACAGTATGGAAGTTCCCCAAAAATTAAAAATAGAACTATGATATGATCCGCCAATCCCATTTATGATATAGTAGTATATCTGAAGGAAATGAAATCACTATTTTGAAGAGATATCTGCACTTACATATTCATTGCAGCATTATTAACAATAATGAAAACATGGAAACAATCTAAATGTTCAGTGAGGATGAATGACTAAAGAAAATGTGTGTTTGTGTCATGGAACATTATTCGGACATGAAAAAGAAGGGAATCCTGCCATTTGCGACAGTATGATGAACCCTGAGGGCATTATGATTAAGTGAAATAAGCCAGACAGACAAAGTACTACATGATCTCACTTATGTGCGGAATCTGGAAAAGTCAAACTTCTAGGAATAGTTGAGTGGTGGTTACCAGGACTCGGGGCAAAGAAGATGTTGTTCAAAAGGTACAAATGGAATAAGTTTGGGGGATGTAATGTACAGCATCATAACTGTAGCTAACAATAATGTATAATTGAAATTTGCTAAGGAAGTAGATCTTAAATGTTCTCACCACACTCACAGACACACACACGGAGGAATTATGTGAGGTGATAGATGTGTTAACCTTAACATAATCAGCTCGCTGTATACACACACACATATACCAAGTGATCACATGGTGCACCGTAAAATTTACACATATTACTCATCAATTTTATCTCAATAAAGTTGGGGAGGAGAGGAATATTTTTCTCTTTGATATTAAACTTTTTTGGATTCAGCATTCATGTCTCTCTCTTCTGTAATAGATTCTTATTTAATTACTGTTTCCTGTGAATGACTTAACTAGTTGGCAGTATCTTCTCCAAAATTATCAGTGTTAGGACAAGGTCTGTTTCAGGAATGGCCTTGGATAGAAATAGTGGGGTTGGGATGGAGGAAAAAAGGACTATGCTTTCCTTGCCTTAAAAGTTTAAATCACTATCTCTCTGGGGAGTTGCTCTGATACCTTTGTTGTTAAAAGCAAGAGAAAAAACAATTTAAATCCTCATTGGCTCATTCTACAGGAATTGTAACATATAATGAGAAACCTGCTTTCTCTGTATTTACACACATCCACATAAACAGGTCAAATCTCAAAACTCTGGGAAGCTGTCCACATTTTTCCACATAAGAAATTTGTGATTTTTCAATATATTAAGTTGAGGCTTGGAAGACTTTATTTTTTTTTTTTCCCCCAGCCAGGTTCTGTCTTTATTCTCCTGTTACATCTGTATTTATACCAGTTGATTTTAATCCTATCCATTCTATTCCAAAGGTTAGGGCGTTTGTTATCTCCATTCCAAGGTCACTACTCTATTGTTCTGTTAAGCTACAAGGAAGTAACTGAAGGAGATTATCCTAAATAAAGATTATGTAGCTTAAGCGTGATTGTTCATAGTTAAAGTGATTAACTACCCGCCTGGCACTTAGTTAAGGAGTTTTACTGATTTATTCCCTTCCTTAGTCCTGTTAATCCCTAACTCCAGGGAAAAATCCCCACCTGGGGAAACAACCTTTCTTGGAGAGGTGACCTTGGTTAAAACACATAGTGCTAAGGGGAGCAAACATATTAAGAACAGTATGCCATATACGCCAGGTCCCTTGAAACATACGCTGTGCAGATGTTTCTTCCCTGCAGCGACTGTGTCAAGCAGCAAGGATGGACTGGCTTCCGGCACATAATAAAGGCCATATCTAACAAATCCACACCCAACATTATTCGTACTCAATGGGCAAATTGAAAAGTGTTAAGATCAGGAACAAAATAGGAATGTCTACTTTCATCACTCTTATTCAACATGGTATTGGAAGTTCTAGTCACAGTGATCAGAAGAAATAAAAGCCATCCAGATTTTGGGCGGGGCGGGGGGGGGGAGAAAAATTCAATATTTGCAGATGACATGGATCTATATAGAGAGAACTTTAAAGATTCCATCAATAAACTACTAGAACGTATAAATGAATTGAAAGACTTTTTTGTTTGTTATGTAATAAATTTAGACCTGTAAATTTTCAAAATTTTATAGATTACCAAGAATGGCTTTACCTTAAAGCTCCATCTAGCTGAAGACTCGTTACAAATAGTATGTTTAATTATTTGACATGCTTTGGTCAGAGTCAAATACTAATAGATATTTTAATTCAGCTGCATGACTTGGAATTATAAAAGCCTACAAAATTACAGTCTTATAAGCCCATCTTGACTTCGGGAACATTCTTGTTTAAATTGTCAAAATGTTTTCCTTGATAGGGTGACTTTACAAGGACAGGGGAAAGGAAGTTAGCAGGAGTCATGAAAGACGGTGTTAACTCCGCAAATAGGTATTACCTGAATCGATTTAAGGATGCTTATAGGCAAGCTGTCATAGGTAAGAAACGTAAAAACCTTTTTTTAAAATTTGTTATTCCTTCTGTGACTGTTTTACCGAAACCAACATTATTAACATAGTTCATATGTTTTATAATATACTTATACTTCTGTATTGAGCATCTTACCAAATGAATCAAATTCAAATTTTTAGGAGATTAGAACTTGACAAATTTTTTAGGCTGGAGCAACAAAAGAAACCACTCGTTTCCATATGTATTTGTCAGTTTGCTGTTCATGTAACAGAAAGCATGGTTGAGGCTCCTGAAATATGAAATAAGAGACCCTAAAACCTCTTCAACTAAAAACTCCACATTCTATTTGTTTTTCCGTTACTCAAGGCTGAGAGATGTAACAAGATGATTTTCTTTCTTTCCATGACATCGTATGTTCTTGCTGTGGACAAAAACACCATCCTTTCTTTCCATGGGTGTGATTAAATAGCATATTAAAGAGGATTACATTAAGCCCTAGCTCTTTTGGCTCAGTGAATAGAGCGTCGGCCTGTGAACTGAAGGGTCCTGGGTTTGATTCCTGTCAAGGGCACATGCCCAGGTTTCAGGCTCAATCCCCAGAGGGGGGCATGCAAGAGGCAGTCAGTCAATGATTCTCTCTCATCATTGATGTTTCTATCTCTCTCTTCCTCTCCCTTCCTCTCTGAAATCAATAAAACTATTTTTAAAAAATTTATCCTACCCAATTCAGTCCTTTTTTTTTGAAGAGTAAATGGAGGGTAGATTGCCCAGTGGAATTCATGCGTTGGCATGTTTTAAATTTAATTTTTATTAAAATATTACCTTATAGTATTTAAATAAACATATAATGTTGTGGATTAGAACCAAATGCAACACTTTATCTTATGGTCTCTGAGACTATTTTTTAAATCCTGTTTTTAAACTTGATATTTATCATTCATAAAATAATGGGGCCTAGACACAGGCCAGTTAGTAATTTGAGAAGTCTGGTGTAAAGAAGTTTGGTTCATTTGCCATGGATGGGGGTGTGCTGACTGGAAAACTGGATTTTTAGCACATTATTACAGAAAAGTAAGATATCTTCCTTCTGTTGGTCGATCTGGTAACTCAGTTATGTCCTTGAGGACTCAGGTTTTGTCCCTTTTGCAGTTTGAGACAGAGGCCCATAGCAGGCTGGGCTATTGCTTCCCCCTTATAGTGATAGCAGTGGCAGATCTTTCCCGGAAGCCCCCTCCAGTCTCATTGTCCCAAACAACTATAGGGAATGGGATTATAATGACTTGTTAAAGTTTAAGCCACATGCCACACTAGGAAGAAGTTAGCTAGTCTATTTAGATCTGTTTTAAAAAATGTTTTTCTTGATTTCAGAAAAATATGTTTATATTGATTTCAGAAAAGAAGGGAGAGAGAGGGGGAGAGAGAGAGAGAAACATAATGATGAGAATCATTGATCAGCTGCCTCCTGCACACCTCCCACTGCGGATCCAGCCTGCAACCCAGCCATGTGCCCTGACCTGGAATCAGACCATGACCTCCTGGTTCATGGGTCGACGCTCAACCACTGAGCCACATCAGCTGGGCTTATTTGTCTTTTTATTGAGTTATAGGAATTCTGGATACAAGTCCATTATTAGATAGGTGATTTATAAATATCCTTTCCCATTCTGTGAATTCTCTTTTCACTATCATGTTATTTCCCTTTGAAATACAGAAGTTTTTTATTTTTATTTTTATTTTTATTTTTCAGCAGTTATGGTGGGTAGTTACATCCTAGGCCAGTATCTTTTTTTTTTTTAATTTATTGATTTTTTTCCAAAGAGGAAGGGAGAGGGATAGAGAGTTAGAAACATTGATGAGAGAGAAAATATTGATCAGCTGCCTCCTGCACATCCCATACTGGGGATGTGCCCGCAACCAAGATACATGCCCTTGACCGGAATTGAACCTGGGACCCTTCAGTCTGCAGGCCGACACTCTATCCACTGAGCCAAACCGGTTAGGGCAGAAGTTTTTTATTTTAATGATGTTCCGTTTATCTGTTTTTTCTTTTGTTTGTGATGTTAGTTTCCATTCCCCCCCCCAACACTCCCCACCCCCCCAACACCAAATAAAAAACTAAAAAACCCCATGTCTAATCCAGGTCTCAAAGATTTATTCCTATGTTTTCTTAGAGTTTTATGGTTTAGGTCTTCATTCTCTTTTGTTTTTTGAAAAAATGTATTAGGAAACTAAGATGATGATAGATATTGACACTTTCTACTCTAGATTTGATGCAAGGCATTCCAGTGACAGAAGATCTTTATTCCATATTTAACAAAGAGAAAGAGCATGAAGCTTTGCATAAGGAAAACCAGAGAAGTCACCAGGAACTGATTAGCCAGCTTTTACAAAGTTACATGAAGTTACTGCTGCCTGATAATGAAAAGTTCCACGGGGGCTGGGCCCTCATTGACTGTGATCCCAGGTAATGAGTGATGTCCTGCTAACTAATGTGCTTACATTTCTGATAAGTTTTCTGTAATTAATGCTAGGACTTATCCATAAAGCCGTGGGCATGGATGCATGGCACTTTTCAAGTACAGAGCTGACACTAAAAACTCAGTAATGAGAACTATTTTAATGCAATCCTATATAATAAAAGCCTAATATGCTAAGTGTCCAGTCGACTGGTCGGCCGTTCAACCAATCAAAGTGTAATATGCTAATCGCTCATTATTATGTGCACTGACCACCAGGGGGCAGACAGTCGACCATTCGCTATGATGTGCATTGACCACCAGGGGGTAGATGCTCCGACTGGTAGATTAGCCTGCTGCTGGGGTCTGGCTGATCGGGATTGAGCAAGACGGGCCAGACATGCCCTGAGGCCCTCCAGCAGTCCCTCCCTGGCTGGCCAACCTCCTGCGTCCCTCCCCAGCCCTGATCGTTCACCACCTGGCCTGTACCCTCTCGCAATCGGGGACCTCTTGGGGGATGTCGGAGAGCCGGTTTCAGCCCTATCCTGCAGGCCAGGCCTAGGGACCTCACTGGTGCACGAATTTGTGCACTGGGCCTCTAGTAATTGATATAAAAAACAATTGTAAAACTATGGTTCGCTAGTGGCTGTGTGGGTTTTCCCCCCTCAGAATCTAGGTTTATTGTATTAATGCACATAACTCAGTGGATAGAGTATTGGCCTACGAAATGAAGGGTCCTGGGTTTGATTCTGGTCAAGGGCACGTACCTCGGTTGCAGGCTCCATCCCCAGCCTGGGGCACATGCGGGAGACAATCAATCAATCCCTCTCACATGGATATTTCTCTGTGTCCCTCCCTCTCTCTTCTAAGAATCAATGGAAAAATATATTCTGGTGAAGGCTAACAAAATATATATATTGCACTGAAAAATTTTTTTTAATTGTTTGAAGTATTACATATGTCTCCTTCCCTAAGGGCAAGCTCCCACCACCCCAGTCTCTGGATATATTTTTTTTTCTTTCTTTATTGATTAAGGTATTATATATGTGTCCTTATCCGCCCATTGACCCACTCATGCCCCCACCCCCCTGGTGTGTGTGTCCATTGGTTATGCTTGTATGTGTGCATACAAGTCCTCTGGTTGATCTCTTATCCTCCCTCACCCTCCCCTACCTTCCCTCTGAGGTTTGAGCATCTGATCGATACTTCTGTCTCTGGATCTGTTTCTGTTCATCAGTTTATGTTGTACATTATATTCCACAAGTGAGATCATGTGATATTTATCTTTCTCTCACGGACTTATTTTGCTTAGCATAATGCTTTCCAGGACCATAATGCTGTTGCAAATGGTTAAAAAAATTTTTTTTTAAATATATTTTTATTGATTTCAGAGGAAGAGAAACACTAAAGATGAGAAGGAATCATTGGCTGCCTTCTGCCCGCCCCCTACTGGGGACAGCCTGCAACCCAGGCATGTGCCCTTGACCAGAATTGAACCCAGGACCCTGGAGTCCGCAGGCCAAGGCCGTATACACCGAGCCAAACCGGTTAGGGTGGTTAAGAATTATCTTGATGGCTATTGGCCACCACTTAAATATCGGACTGGAACCAGCGGCAGGTCTAGCGGGATGCGCATGCGCACTGGACAGTGCGCAGCGGAAGTGGCCCGCCATGACGTGTTTCGGGGCGGGGCATGGCGCGGTTCAATCACGCGGTCGGTGCACGGGTGCAGTTTGGTGCAGACGGTTCATGTGTGGGGTTGGGTGCAGCGGCTCTGACAGCTTTGACTCCTCGAGAGACAAACGGACGCCCCGACCAGATGCCGCGGCCCTACAAGCCCTTGCCGGGCGCCCGGCGGCCCGACCGCATCGCAGAGCACGTTGCTGAATTGGATCGCTTGACGACAACGCTCAAGATGGTTCTCCTTTTAGCCGGGCTTACGCTGAAAGCTCCGGTGGCGTTGTATTTTTATTCTAAAATAGTCCTTTTTCAAAGCCTCCTGTTAATGTCCCCTGAGGACAGCGGCTTTTACGCCCTCGTCGTGGCGGTGATCGGCCTCCACCTACTGATCTGCGGCTTTGTTTTTGTTCTGTGGCCGGAGGACGGCTGGCCCGGGTGGCGGGGGCGGAAGCGCTAGACGGAGCCGCCTTTCCTCCGCGTCCAGAGCAGTCAGTGGCGAGGCCCACGCCTGACTGATGTAAATATTGTCAACAATGGTAAAATATTTCCGTGTTAAAATGTCTTGTGACGTAACTTTCGTGGCTTGGCTGGAGCAACGCTTTTCGGAGTGCCCGTAAGTACAGGCCAGAGCCGGACCGCGCTGGCTTCCCCGGATGCAGGGTGCTTGTCTGGGACTGATGACGGGCCCGCCATCTTAGGTCACTCATTGCATTTTCGGCGAAAATTGAGAATTTATTTTAGGTTAAGACTGTTAGCTACACTACAACAAGGTGCTGCACTTGGGGTTTTGGGTAGTTTTCTCCGCAGGCAGCACGGGTTCTACATGACCTCATCCTGACGCAGGTTAAATGTGACTCCAGTTCCATCTGCAAAGGGTGTTTTGCAGTATTTTGATAAACAGGCAAACAGGCGTGTAATTCTAAGGCAGAATTATGCATTTGTATAGAGCAGTGATGGCGAACCTTTTGAGCTCGGCATGTCAGCATTTTGAAAAACCCTAACTTAACTCTGGTGCCGTGTCACATAAATTTTTTGATCTTTGCAACCATAGTAAAATAAAGACATATTTTTGATATTTATTTTATATATTTAAATGCCATTTAACAAAGAAAAATCAACCAAAAAGAGAGTTTGCGTGTCACAGGTTCGCCATCACTGGTATAGAGACTTTTGGGACTAATCTAAGAAGCCATATTAATTTCCACCTTTTGTTTGGAAAGGCTGTTATTAGGTGAATATCATGTAAAATCCTTTCAAAGGATGCATTCTGCAGTGTAAAATACTCTACTGTGCAGTGTCATTTTGAAGATCAGGTTATGAGAGTGAATCATTTAGACTGTTTCTTCCTTCTGAACCTCACATCTTTCTTTTCAGTTCCCCTTTCCCCCCATTATCCACTTCCCCCTCCTCCTTGCCTGTGAGAAGGCATCTCTCTTCAGCTCATCCTTTCTTCCGCCCTCCCAAACTAGATTCTTTTTTAAATAGCCAAATAGTGTCCTACTTCTGAAATTAAATGTATGCATTGATTCTTCCCCTCCCCCCATCTGTTATCACAAGTGGCTCTCCTTTAAAAATAAGCTTGGCAAAAATGTAGATGAAAATATGTGACTGCCTGTGTCGTGTTTGTTTAGCCTCATTGATGCTACGCACAGAGACGTGGATGTGCTGTTACTGCTTTCTAATTCTGCCTACTACGTTGCCTAGTAAGTTACTTATTGATTTAAAGCTTTAAATTTTGTTTTAAAATTTGAGTAAATTTCCATTTTAGGAAATTAAGAATTGGGTTTTATTTTTTTTTTAAAGAAATGTCATTGAACCCCTTTACCTTACATAACTGTTACATCAGACTTCCTTTTTTTAATTTGAAAATGATTTTTAGAGTTATATCCCAGGTTTTGGTGTATTTCACATATTTTTATTGTTAGTGACCATATAGTATTGTTTTATTATTATGCCATAAGTGATTTCCCATTGTTGGGCATTAAAAGGATTCCCTTTTTTGTAGTTTCGTTTTGCTGTTGTGAATGATACAGCAGTCTTTGTACAGATAACTGTGTGTGCAAGGTTATCATTTGGTTATAGTGATGAATTACAAGTGCTTCTTCATAGCCTTGCCAGAACTGAGGGTTGTTCCCCCCACCTTGTGTGAACTGTTTTTTCTTGTCATTGGCCTGGGTGCCTATTGGCATTGATCACATTGATTTGGATATAATTTATCTGCTGTATTATTCCCAAATACATAGCTTCAGAATACATGTCTCTGTATTTTTAAATTTCCTTTTAGGTTAAGGTTTAACTTTGTCTTTTTTTTTTCCCTCAAAATGTTTATAAAACAAACTATTTTTGCTGTGAATTTTAGTGTAAGATCTATAAACTGATTTTAACTATTGAACTATGTATGTTATCTCATTACATCTAACTTTGAAAAATAACTGTATTGTGCTAAAGATTTTAACTGCATAGTAGTTGCTACTATTATACTTCAGTTATAAGATAAATATGCTTTTGATTTTAATAATTTTTAAATCCCTTTTCCTTTAGTTATGATGATGAAGTTGATAAAGTAAACCAGTATCAACGACTAAGTCTAGAAGACCTGGAAAAAATAGAAATAGGTAAATTTAAAGATACTAATCAAGTCATAGAAAGCAAATACTGTTTCTTCCAAGAGTAGGTCAAGCTGTTTGTGCAACCGGCATAGCATCTTACTAGAACCAAAGAGGGGTATTCCCAGTCGTGTTTTGTAGGTCTCCCTTCTATTCTTTAGAGATTAATGAATATAATCCAATAGTAAGTTTCTATTTTATTATCTTGTGAAGATTAAACCAGAGATCAAGAAAGTTTACATATTTGAGGCTGAAGTACTAGTATTTAGTTTCATCAAACCAAACTGTCACACTAAGCTTATGTGCTTTTGTTTAGATTGTGAGGAAAAACGTGCTAAATGACCTAATGGATGAATGTGTTTGTCTTTTGAAGATAGAGGAAAGTAAAGGTTATGTGAAAGATTTACACATATTCCTCTGGTCTTTAGGTCCTGAACCCACTCTTTTTGGAAAGCCAAAGTTCTCCTGCATGCGGCTGCACTACAGATACAAAGAAACAAGTGGCTATTTCCACACACTGAGAGCTGTAATGCGCAATCCAGAAGAGGATGGGAAAGGTAAGGAGATGAATTTACTGAGTGTACACTTTTGATCTGCTCTTCTAAGCACAAATGGAATTGGGGGCAGTACATACCATCACCAACTAATGATCCAGGGAAATAGCAACTTTGTTCTCAGCAGCACAGGGAGACATGATCTGAACTGATGATGGTTTGGGGCAAGGGAAGCTATAATGGGAATCCTGTGTAGCCGTATGGATGCGGGGCTTTCCCACCATATATGCCTCGTGTGGGTAGTAGTCAAGGACCGTGTCTGTCTGGTTCACAGCTATTACCCTCAGCATCTAGCACTTTAATTCCAATTGATTTGGTTCCTTTGCTCTTTACTTACTCTTTTGTTAAAATTGGTTTTACAACACTGGATTAGTGAGGGAAGTAATGAATGAGGAGCAGTTTCCTGAAAATTGAAGCAAATAAGTTTGATTTTAACTGAAAGACCACAAATTTCAGTTAGGGTTCTGAGTTAGAACTGCTACTTTTTCGTATGTTTCTGGGGAAAGTGGCGGCAGTTCTATTTGGGTTTCAGATACGCTTCAGTGCATTGCGGAGATGCTGCAGATCACCAAGCAAGCCATGGGGCTGGATGTGCCTATAATCGAGAAAAAACTTGAGAGGTGAGTACTTTATTTTGATTTTCTCTCACGAATAAAGACATTATTATCCAGTCATTAAAAATATTTGCACAGGTAGGGGGCGGGTTGCATTAGAGTAATGAGTTGGTATTTAGAGAGAAGTATCACATTTCTGTGGATTAAAGGTAAAACTTTAGAGGGGAGCATTTCAATTTAAATAACTTTGTAGAGAAACTAGCCACTATGCTTTAAACAGATTACATTTAAATTTGTGAGTTTTCCATCTAATGAGCAGGTTCATGGTCCACATTCCACTAGAGAAGAGAGTCATTTGGTCATCTAGAAAAAAATTGTTCAGTCTTTTGTTAGTAGAGAATATTGTTTCCGTTGTCTTTGATGTTACAACTTTTACAAAAGTCTCATGACCAGTAATCCCTCATGACCACCAGGTCAGACATTCAAGATATGTGTGATGAATAGCACAACTTTTTTCTCATTTGTACCTGTTGTGAGGGATGCCAAGGGAGAAACCACTAAGTTATGTTCAATGTCCCAAATTTTTAAAAATATGTTCCCAGTGGGTTATCTGAATTTAAGGAAACAAAATTCCCCCCCTTCCTGAATTCAGCCAAATTGGAATGCGTGTAGACAGCTCTAGTTACGGTGCAGTAGATTCCCACTTACAACCAGTGATTTTGCCATCCTTTAGATTGTGGAGGTGGAGCCTCTGAAAGGTGATTAGTCTGCGTTTTGGGTGTGGGTTTTTTGTTTTTTGTTTGTGTTTGCACAAAAACATGGGCGAGGCAACTGTTGGGAGGCTTCCCTCCCTCCCTTCCTCCACTGCCTGCTCCTCTCTGCATGCCTAGGAGAACACAACTGAAGGAAACATGCAGCAGCAGTGATAACTCCAAAGACAAATGGTTTGGTCCAAAAGAACTCAACATGATTAATCCAATTACCAGAAAGAATGTCACCAAGCAGAATTAAAATGCTGATGTGGTAGTTTCCACAGGGTGGCTCTGGGTTGCTCCTGGTGGCCTGCTTGAGGAAGGTGAGGACAGAGCGCCTGTGGGAGATGCCTCTGGCCTGTGTGGGACTGGGGTTGAAGTCACACAGCCGGACCCCCGTTTCCACTCAGCGCCTGGAACAAGGTGCCAGTGTCATTAAGGGCCTCTGCTGCTCTCCTGTAAAATCCTACCCACTGGCTGTTTCAGAGACTCAGCACAAAAAATACACCTCATTCACTATTTTTCCATGGTGACTCTAAGCTCAAATGACAATGTTTTGTATATATTGTGGGTTTAAATAAAATACTATTAAAATTCATTTCACATTTTTAATGTGGCTATTTTCAATGACATCTACAGCTTGTCTATTTCTATTGGACAGTCTCTTCTAGTGTCAACTCCAAGGGGTTATCTTAGTTTATCAATTAGCAATGCGCAGTTTTCAAGAAATGGGGTCCAATTTAAATAGAATTTTCACTTTAATAATTGGAAATGGTATGCTGAATTACATGGGAAATTAACTTTTCTCTCTTATACTTTGTAGGAAGAGCAGTAAACCTCATGAAGACATAATTGGCATCAGATCTCAAAACCAAGGGTCTCTGGCCCAGGGAAAAAAGTTTTTAATGAGCAAATTTTCATCTCTAAATCAAAAAGTGAAACAGACCAAATCCAATGTAAATATTGGCAATTTACGAAGGCTGGGAAACTTTGCAAAACCTGAAATGAAAGTTAATTTTCTGAAACCAAACTTAAAAGTAAATCTTTGGAAATCAGATAGTAGTCTTGAAACCATGGAAAACACAGGTGTGATGGATAATACAGTCCAGGCAGAGTCTGATGGGGAAATGTCTTCAGATAATGACTCCTACCACTCTGATGAATTCCTTACAAATTCCAAGTCTGATGAGGACAGGCAGCTAACTAATTCTCTAGAGAATGTGGGGCCAATAGACTATGTTCTTCCTAGTTGTGGCATTATTGCTTCAGCACCTCGATTAGGCAGATCCCAATCTATTAGCAATACTGATGTTAGCATTCGTGCTCCTTCAGATATTACTATTGCTGCTCATGGAAGTGAGTTTGGAAAAGGCTGTGAGTCTCCTTTAAAAAAAAGTCCTTCTGCTGATAATATACACACATTGACTGGCTTTGCCAAGCCTATGGATATTTACTGCCACCGATTTGTACAAGATGCACACAACAAAATGACCCAACTGTCCGAAACCAGATGTGTTTCTCAGCAGGCTAGTGAGGAAGGAAATCAAACAACCAATCAAGTTTCCAATGAAGAAACCCAATCTGAATCAACGGAACACATACCTTCTCGACCATCTCAATTAGACGTGTGTTTTTCTGCAGCAGGCCCACAGTTTTTGTCTGTCGAACCAGTGCATTCAGTTGTATCTCAAAAGACCCCCGGCTCTGGATCCAGCATGCTTGACCTTGAGGCAGGGCTTCATGTAACTCCTTCTCCTTCGGAGAGCAGCAGCAGAGCCGTCTCTCCCTTTGCAAAGATTCGGAGTTCCATGGTCCAGGTTGCTAATATTACTCAAGCCGGGTTAACCCAGGGGATAAGCTTTGCAGTGGCAAAGGTTCAAAAGAGCCCTGCAGAACCTGAAGTGGTTAATGAGGTCCAGCAAAATGAACTTAAAAATATGTTTACACAATGCCAGACGCGAATAATTCAGATTTAGTTTTTAGCCATAATCCTATGGCTTTTAATAAAAAAAAAAAAAGGTTTCACATATGAGACTATTTTAACCTGCACTGACTCTGAATTTAGGGATAATAAATTCTGTTTACTGGGAAAGGTTTTAAAAGGAATATGAACTTGAGCAGATTTCCAAATTTGGGAGTCAGGACAACAGAGGTGCATCAACCTAGACTGTGTAGACCTAAGTAGCTAAACACTACAGAGCTGTTTGTCTCTTTGAATGTAATTCAGGACTAGATTACTTTGGGGTATAATAACCTGTACCTGAACCTTTTTTTTTTTTTTTTTTTGAGTGGGCGGAGGGAGCTGTTGAGTGTATGAAGTAGACACACAAAGGACGGTCATGGATACATTGAGGGGGTTAGCATTTTTTGTAACATTTTTCTCAGTACATTTCTGTGTATTACCTCTACAAGGTAAATACATTTAGTTTTTAGTGACTTTAAAAGTGTTATTAATATGGAAAAGCATTTGAATATAAAAAACTTGGTTTTGTTTTGATGGCTTAACCATTCCCTATGAAGAATTGAGGGTTACTGGCATAGTTAAGAAATGTATGCCCATTGGATTTTAATTTTCCCTGTATTTTAAACAATTTTAAATTTTATGCCACTCTGTATACCCCAAAGTCTAGGAGCATTAAGATATGTCAGTCATAAAACCTGAGACAGCAGATCTGAATACCAGCACCTATTAATTTTGGTATTTTCAGGTAAGAATGTACATTTACCGGATATTGGTAATTCTTTTGTAGGGGGCATTCCTTAACATCTTGTGTAGACTATTGAAACTTAGTCTGAAGCACAGTTGTGTTAAAATTGGTTTTATGACCATAACCCTGACCACATGGACACTCTTCTATAAGCCCATACATTAAGAAAGCTACTTTATTCCAAACCAATACTGGTTTGTCTGCTATCTTTAGAGCCTTACTCTGTTGACGTGATTCTCAGCTAAACATTAAGTCTGTTGTAACTTTGCTAAGTATTTCCACTTTTGTTATTTATTAGTGGTATATTTTTGTGTGTGTGTGAAGTGTCAAGTCTTGTGGCTATTTAAAAAATAAAATACCATTGTGATTTAAAGTGACAATGTATGAGAATTCCTTGAATAACATTTTAAGGATAAGGGTTTGATTTTTTAATGGGATTAAAGAATTTGTAAGCAAGGTAAGTTTTCTATAATATTCGTTTAGTTTTCTGGTGATTCAAAAATAGGGTTAAAATCACGTTAGATTGACAACTTTAATGTCCACATGTATAGCAAGGGAGGAAAGGGTTTCTAAAGCCCAGGGTTCTCTCTCCTACCTGCTCACTGGAGTCTGAGGGCACATGGGAAGAGCTTCAGTTCTCTGGAAGGGTTCTCCTTTCAAGGCAACTTCTCTGCCAGACCAAGCTACTTAGTACTTCTCTTTGGTAAACTACAATTCACATTGGCACAATAAACACACAGTAACTAATCTCTTGAATTTTATTCCCACAAATCCAGGTGAGGTTTCATTTCCTAAAAGTTCAAGGATGGTCTAGTCTACCAGTTATAAAAATGAAAACCAGTTAGAATACTAAATATAAACTGATTATTCATATTAGTTTATAAAAAATAGATTTGAGTTTAGGAAAAGTTAAACTAATAATCCCGTTTGCGAGGCATAATAAATTCCTTGATTTTCAAGGCTCACCCTGTTTCCTTGGTTAACAATATCAATTTAGATGGGGTGGAATTTAAGGAATCATTTAACTGAACCATTAATGTTTCCAACTAGGTAAGTCACTGACTAAAAATAATTATGTATAACCACAGCTTAAGTGATGTTCTAACCTCTCCAAATATTCTGGGAGCCACAATTATACTATGAACAATGATGTTTTTGTTCATTTTAAAACTTACTGTATGTTAGAACTGTAATTGGTCTGGGGAAAGCCTTCTTAGTTTTATCATGGTGTTTTGGACGAGCAGATAATGTTAACCTAATAAAATAAAGTTCAAAATCTAATACAATCATCAAAGCAAGTAAATGACATTAGGAAAAGAAATAAAAACCTTTTTCCTAAAGAAGGCATTTCTTAAAATTAAAAATATTAACTATTTTACTCTCATATTTAGGAAAAACAACTTAGTAGGGTAGAATTTCCTTAAGTGAGTGTCATAAAACAGTGGTTCCCAAATGTACTGGGGTGAAATGAGAAAAATAAGGACAATGGGAGTATTTTTTTCAAAAAGCTACATTTATTCCACTTAAAGGACTATCTTGTTTTTTAAGATTGTCCTCATGAAAAGAAAATGTAATAATACAGTGATTTCTTTCAGATAACTTGGCATCCTTGTCGATCCCAAAATTTTGGGAAATATTACTGGTCCATGAACTCTAAAAGTATGGGAACCACTGCCACGTTAAAGACTAGTGTTGCAGATTAACAACTGTTAAATAGAAAAAAAGCTGCTGTGGTCAAATGTTTGGGAAATCATGTGAAATTTTGTAGTATTTCCCAAACATGTGATCACAAAACACATTCAGATCCACTGTTAATTGGAAAGACGTAAAAAATCTTAAGTGAACATTCCTGAATGGAATTGCAACTATTTTCATATGAACAAAGTCTGGCCTATAACTTAGCTTCAGCTAAGGAAATGGTATAAGCAGCAATGTTATCAATATTAAACTTTTAATATCAAATACAGTTTTGTACATTACTAATTTATATAATTATAAAACAAACTCCAAAAGCTCCATAAAATCAGTAAGGTAAAAGCCCTTACTGAATATTATATAAACTTCAGATGTGACCAGGCTTGATTTCAGGAAAAGTCCTTGGTTTTTAATACAAAGTATCTACAAAACAATGGTATAAATGATACTTGCATTTTACAAGAATGTGGCTGTAATTTGCCCATTACTCTTCGATAAGTCTCAGATGTTTAAAGTTCATTTCCATTCACGCACTTCTGCTGCTGAAGCCTCGTTCTTCTCAAAGACTCCAGCTGCTTTGCTCTCAGCCATCGTTCTCTCGACAGCGTTGTCTGCCCAGCGCTGAGAGACAGAAACCTGGTTGGAGATGAGAAACAAACTGAAGTCTTGACCGAGGAAGATGGGCTTAGGGACAGACCTGTGCTCGGGCCACAAAGAGGGCAAGGACCAAGTTAGATGTCTACAAAGGAATCCTTTAAGTCAAATTTGGGAGATGACTCACTTTGAGAAGCATGCCTGGTTCCATTGAAGTGATCACTGGCCAAATGCAATTTCACTTCAATGAGCCATGTCACAAGGGATTGTAAAAGGAAAAAGATCATTTCTATAAACTAGGGGCTTTATTCATCGCTACGTTAAGCACTTAAGGACATGGCCTACTCACCGAGCGACAATGAGCAGCTGGTGGAGATCATCAGCAGTGATGCTCTGAGGGTCATTCTTGCGCATTTCCACGAAGTCATCTTCAACTGCCTTTATCAAAAGAGGAAATGGCATTTGCATTTAATAGGGAAAAGAAAACTAACATGGTCCCTTGACTGATGTAAAAATGAAGTCAGCCCTGCTTTTTAGAAAAATGAGATAACATGGATGAAATGATTGAGAACCAAACTTAATACATATAAATAATGTTACCGATGAAAGTATTCCAAACAAAGTAAGATCAGGCGAACATGCCTGTAAACACAGGGAAGATGATGTCAGTAAAAATGGCAGAACAAGGACCTCAGAAAATTCCATTAAAGGGAATAAAGACTCTAGTAAAAATGGTCAAAATCAGCTTCATCAAAGCTCTGGAAATTAACCAGAGGCTTGCAGCAATCTGAGGAGCATTACTCAAGAAAGGCAGTAAGAACACTGAGCTTTGCCAAAACCGGTTTGGCTCAGTGGATAGAACGTCGGCCTGCGGACTGAAAGGTCCCGGGTTCGATTCCAGTCAAGGGCATGTACCTGGGTTGCGGGCACTTCCCCAGTGGGGGATGTGCAGGAGGCAGCTGATCGATGTTTCTCTCTCATCGATGTTTCTAACTATCTCTCTCCCTTCCTCTCTGTAAAAAATCAATAAAAATATATTTTAAAAAAAAGAAAAGAACACTGAGCTTTGAGGAATTTTAACTTGCACCCTCACCCCACCTCCAGGCAGCCCTGACAATGTCCCGCCTGGCAACCACTGAAGAGGTAGTGGGGCTGGAGGTCTCCCAAAGCACCATTCAGGAATTATCATCATTTGACTGGTGGTTCCCTGGAAGAACCCACCTGTAAGGTTGTCTTTAACCTGACATGGGGCTTGCCCAGTGTGAACAGTCTCTTCTCCCAGGGCATTTAAAAAAAATCAGAAGCAATTATTGAACATCTTGGCTGCCTCGGGCACTGGCTAGCCAAATTCCTTAAAAGGAAAAACAGGGAATGAGATGTCCGTGTGTGTGCGCGCACGCGATAGCTATATAAATCAATTCCTAAGAATTTAGAAGGTCACATGCTTGCATAGGTCTGTGCATGCTCAGATCTGAGCAGGCCCTAAGCTCTCACCTTGGAATAACCTTGAGTCTCTATGCAAGCAGAAAATGAAGGAAGGATAGGGCAGTTGTAATCTGCATGGCTGAGTGTTGAAGGGTTGCCCCAACATGGATACAGGACTTAGACTGGGAGACATATTGCTAACAGGCATCTAGGGAAATTAAATTTCTATCCATTCATTGAGTGACCACTGAGTTAAGAGGGCAGACTTCAGTGCCCACATACAACCAAACTATAGGATTCAGAAAGTCATAGAACAACAAACCCTAGAGAGGGAGGGAATCTGTCAGCAGAGTTGTCACATTATATTATTTAAAAGTAGAGGCTCAGTGCACCAATTTGTGCATGGGTGGGGTCAGGCTGGCTGGGGGGAGGGGCCGCAGGAGGTTGGCTGGCAGGCCACAGTGTCATAGCAACCGGTCATTCTGGTTACTTGACTTTTATACATATAGATATCTGGTTTTCAACACAAAAATTAGGAGACATACAAAGAAATATGAATGTACAACCTCATTCATTGGACAAAAAGTTAATAGAAATTGTCCTTGAAGAAACTCAAATATTGGACTTACTAGACAAAAACTTGAAACCAGCCATTTTAAATATATTCAAAGAACTGCAGGAAACCACATATAAGTAACTAAGAGAAAACAGGAGAATGATGTCTTGCTAAATAGAAAATATCAATAGAAATTACTTCGAAAACAAACAGAGCCAGCCCTAGCCAGTTTGGCTCAGTGGATAGAGCACTGACAACCTGTGGACCGAAGGGTCCCGGGTTCAATTCTAGTCAAGGGCACATACTTTGGTTGCAGGCTCCTCCCCTGCCTGGGCCCTGGTCAGGTGCGTGCAGGAGGCAACTAATTGATGTGTTTCTCTCACATCGATATTTCTCTGTCTTTCCCTCTCTCTAAAAATCAACGGAAAAACAGCCTCAGGTGAGGAACAAATAGAGCCCCGCCAGTGTTGCTCAGTGGTTGTGCATTGACCTATGAATCAGGACATCATGGTTTGATTCCTGGTCAGGTCACATGCCCAGATTGTGGGCACAATCTCCAGTGAGGGGGGGCATGCAGGAGGCAGCCATTCAATGATTCTCTCTCATCACTGATGTTTCTGTTTTTCCCTTTCCCTCCCTCTCTGAAATCAATAAAAAATATTTTTTAAAAAAACAAACAGAAATTCTGAAGTTGAAAAATATTAATGAAAGGGCGAGGGCTACGCCCTCCATCTTGCCCCAGGGTAAGGGCTACGCCCTCCATCTTGCCTTGGCCATGTGCTCAGCAAGGCTTCTTCCCAAAAGCCCAAGCCTCTGCTAGCCCCACCCAGGACTTCTTTAAACTAACCAATGACAATCAAGGGAAGTCGCCATAGATATGACCACATCCTGTGTAACAAGACACCGACTTGCGCCTGGCCAATCGGCAGGGCCCACAGTCCTTTCTCCTCCCCTTACTCCAACCCCCCTATAAAACCTCTCTCCACACGGAGTTTTCTCTCTCTGCCACTTGGCTTGCCATTGCTTCGGTGAGTGTGGTCGGGAAGCCGAACTAGTTCGAATAAAGACTCTTTGCTTTTGCATCGGACTCGGCTGGCTCCCTGGTGG